ACCAAGGCCGTCACCAAGTACACCAGCTCCAAGTGAGTGTGTTTGGAGGCACAATCCAACCCAAAGGCTCTTTTCAGAGCCACCCACTTTATCAAAGGAGAGCTATAACTGCCATTCCGTGGCTGAGCAATTGCAAGCTTGGGCTACAGTCTTAAAGGAATCCACTGAAATGGTGATCCGTAGGGGCATTTTTAGAGCCAAGCATGCGTTTGGATGGTCACTAACTAGGCTCTCAGCGAAATAAACTACTGTGGCGCAATGGCTGTGCGGCAAAGCGCCACTTCACCTGTAAGGTTTTTTTCAGCCCACGTGTCGTTTTCCGCCAAACTCGGAATACTTGGAAGCGCTCACTCCTTTCCCTGTGTCTGCACGTTTCTAAAGGAGACGGGAGTTTCCCTGCTAGGTAAAGAAGTGACTACAGCATTTCAAAATAGGGACCCTCCGCGGATGACTATTCCATGCTGCCCTATTGGGAGGAGGAGAGGTCCAGGTACTAGAAAGAGCCGGTAGGCGCTCGTATTCCCGGAGCCTCAACTCCCCAGGACCTAAAGCATTAGGTAAACAGCGGAGCCGCCCGTGGTTCCCGTGGGCATCTACGGGGTATACCTCAAGCTCTCTGCGCACACATTAAATGAAATTACTCTAGTTTCGCATTAGAATTGTTTACCGATGGCAACAGCTGATCTAAAGCCCTTTCAGTTTTTCTTGCAGGTGGGAAAGCCGGGCTCCTATTTCCTGTGTCACTGGTTTCTCTGGAATGCCACCAGAAGGGCGGGAAGCACGGCCCTGCAGCTCTAGGCAGGACAAAGAGTTTGAATTTCCCGCGCTTCCCCTTCGCGGCACCTCGTTGGCTGGTCCGGACGGCCCCGCAGAGGCTGGTATGCGGGTCGTTCTTAGTAAACCTTTTTCAAAAAACTGGGACTCCAAAAATGATGCTCAAAAACCAGTAATGATCTTGGTGGAGGAAGAGGAGATATTTGGGCAGGTCTGGGTCCCGGTTTGAGGGGGGGCGGTGTCAGATTGGGTAGGACTGAGCTGTTGACTGCCTGTGAAAAGGGGAGGGAAAGAATATTTTTCATCGGTTTACGAACACTTTACGTAAGGGCGATCTACAACAGTGTCTTTTGGATGAAGAAGTCACATTTGAAGTAGGATTTCTTTAATTTCTTTTTTTTTAAGGACCCCTTTAAAATGAAAAGTTAAATTTAAATTCTCTTTTCCCAGATACCACGTCAGTAGACTGCTGTGTATTTACTGTCTCAGCAGAGGCAACATATAGCTGTGAAAGAGACCCCTGTCTTTAAAATTCATTCTTATAAAAAGACATTTCCCCTCACCCCTCCCAGGCCCTTTTTCTTTTCTCTTCTTTTTGTTTCGTTTCTTTCTGTTTCTTCTCTTTTCTTTTCTTCTCTTTTCTCTTCCTTTCCTTTCCTTTCCTTTTTCTTTCCTTTTGTGTTTTTTTTTTTTTGTTGTTGTTGTTTGTTTTTTCTTTTTCTAATTATCAAACTCCGGCTACAGTTTAAGAATCACTGACACTTATGTTCTTCCCCGGGAGAGGTGAGATCTGGATGGTAATATTATTTCCTATCCTTTTCAAAATGATCTTTTCAAAATGATCAAACAGATTATTTTCTCCCCATCTTGTCCTTCAAAACTTTTGCCTGACTGCTTGCTTTGGTCCCTTTCTTCTCTCTCTCCTCCTCTCCTTCCTGCTTCCCTTCCTTCCTGATATTTGATGCTTTACCTAAAACTTTACCCTTAATTGAGGAGTTCAAACTAAACCCCAAGCCTCCTAGACTCAGACCTAGGCCTTTTTGCCATCTCTCCTGGAAAACTGGCTGATCTGTAACAAGTGAACGAGAATTTTTAAAAAAAATCAATGCCCGGACCCTGTGGTAGGACCCCAGATCTATAGTGGGAGTGCGGAGAAACCAGAAAGATTTTTTTAATAAAAAATCTCCCCAGTTGTATCTGATAAAGCACCAACTTTGGACACAGCAAGGCCAGGAGTCAAGCCATCAAAGTTAAATTCTAGAAGGGTTTATACACCCCCTTGCTTAATAAAACACCCACATTTTCTTCAGAGAGGCAGTCTCTGAGTAACAAAGCAAACGAGCAAAAAATAACCTGTCTTACCTTCCTGATTCTCCTTTCAGTCACGGAAAGTCTTTGTACCTTCCGGTCCAACAAAGGTGACCTGGAGACAGGAAGAGCTGAATCTGTAGGGGAGAAACACTTTCTGGACCCCCTGTTATCTGTTTGGGGACCTTTCTTCTCTTTTCCAAATTCTCAGCCTCCCTCCAAATGAAAGGTCTCCCAACCGCCTCTGTCTGCCCATCAACCATTCAAAACAATTTCAAATAGACAAATAAAAATCTACTGTAATTCCATTATCCGGGACACTTCTGCCCTCAATCTTCCAGAAGTTTTACTTTGTGCAAGTCTATATGGACAGGTGTATAAATGTAATACAAGTGAGAGCATACCTTCTGTTATCCTTTTAAATTAATAGAGATCTTGTTGCCGGGTAAACTGGGAAAACTCGGGCCCTGAGGCCTCGACTGAGCCGGTCCCAAAGGAGTCGCCAGAGGTTATTGGTCTTGTCAGGAGAAAGAATCCAAAGACAGACACAGAACACAGCGGCGACACGAGGGACACAAGTGGGAGAGTTTGTGGAAGTGAAAAGTACACTCTTGAGATAGGAGTAGGAGAAAGCTCCAGAGAGACAGCCAGCTGCCTCCCTGGGGTTCGAGTTTCTTTCTTTTATCCTAGGTGTTAACTAGGATGTTCACTAGGGATGAAAAGCGGGGTTTCAGGCCTTTTTTTCCTAATTTGCTCAGGGGCTTTCTGTCAGTTCGCCGCCATTTTGGGCCTGTCTGGTGTGACGGGCCTCTCAGTTTCCAGATAGGTGGCCACGACTTCCTCGACCTCCAGGCATCCTGTTGCAATGTAACTGCCTACTCTAACAGTACCAGAAGGAGAGCTATTGTCAGGCATACCTGTTTTTTGTTTTTTTTTTTTTTTTTTTTTAATCTGAAAGGTTTTTCTGCCAGGCCGAGCAAACATCTGATTAACCAAACATCTACACTTACCTTTCTGTGAATTGACCCCTCCCCTTTGAAGCCCCAGGCCCCTATCCCATTTCTTAGCTCACGATGGCCTACAAGCCTCAATTGCCTGACGGCCTTTGTGAGGACGTTTTGGAGTGAAGGGGGAAGGGGGGTTCGGAGCCAACGGCCAAGCAAGAATTCTTGAAGACCTCTTTGGTGCAAAAAGGTGATTTTTATTAAAGCAGGGGGACAGGACGGGTAGGCAGAAAGAGCTGCCCTGGGGCTGTGAAGAGTGACCGATTATATACCTTCAGGCTGGGGCGGGGTGGGGTTAGGGGTAGAGTGTATCTCTAAGGAATTTTGGAAGCAAATTTTCTAGGACCTTGAGGGAGTAGCTGTTGTTAGAAAAATGTCATTTATTACCGTTTAGTGAAACCTCAGTCATGAGACCTTCATTCGGATGTATATCTGGGCCCATAAGCTGAGAATATAATTGCCAACATATACTTGGGGGTTAAAGATAAAGGAGGTTTGTTTGCAAAGGAATTTTGATGTGTTTCAGGAGACTTACAGGATCTTGGGGGGTCGGGGTAATGTTAAGCTAAGGCTCTCTTTTGCCCCCAGCAAAGTGTGATCATTGAGGCAGCTGAGCTCCCAGAGGGAGGTCACTCTGCCGGTTTCATGGGCTTGTCAATGGGGTGTAGACAGCAAGGAAATTTAATTTTTCATTTGCCTTAGTTTCCCCCATCGCCATGGCAAGCACTTAAACCCCCTTCCATCTTGATGAGGGTGATATTAGGGCTCCAGGAAATGGAGCCTATAGGTGTCTGGGAATTAGGCTGTGGATAAGATTGCCTTTTTCTTGCAGTTTACTAAGCTCTCCATAAACTGAAGGAGACTCCTGTCCCGCAGGACTGTGATCTCCACGAGTCAACCATCTGCTTTCTTTCCTTTCCCCTGTTCTTGGGTGGCCAGGAGTGTCCGAGGAATATCACACATGCCCCACCTGGGGTGGGGGGTGTGGGGGCAGAGGGGTGCTGTTAGCCTGTACTTTGCCCTCAGCTTGCCCCACACCCCCTCATCATTTGAGTCTCCTGTCTTTGTGGGGCTCTCATACATAAGAAATTACATTTGTTTTTCTCCTGTTAATCTGCCCGGTGTCAGTATAATTATTAAACCAGCCAAAGGGCCTAGAAAGGAAGAAGGGAACGTTTGTCCACCTCTGCATTTTCATTGCTGGTTTACAGATGAAAATGAGTGGCCGTGCCACTTGTTGGGGTCTATGTATTTGCTAACTTTTTGTCTGGTCGCTCTATCAGTTGTTGATAGGGGTGTTGACCTGTTTACCTCTAACTGTGGATTTGCCTGTTATTCCACTTGGCTCACCCATTTTTTTGCCTCCTGTATTTTGCGAGGCTGTTATTTGGTGCTTAAACATTTAGAATTGTACGGCTTTCTTAGTGGTTTGACCCTTTTATCGGTCTGTAATGTCCCTTTCTATCTCTGGTAACTTTCTTTGCTCTGGTTTACTTACCTGATTGGGAGAGGCAATCCTGATTCCTTTCGTTGATATTTGTACGGTTTCGCTTCTCCTACCCTTTAATTTCAACCTGCGTGTGTAGTTCTACTCCAAGTGAGTTCCTTGTAGACAGTGAAGGGGGACATTATTTGCCACCCTAAAATATACCTCTTTGGTGTAAGGATTACCTTGAGTGGATTATTTATTTCTTTAAGTAGCAGACATTTAAAAAGATTTGAAACCCCAGAAGTTAGTCATTTGTGAGAGAAGTTTACATTTACCAGGGAAATCTGCATTTGTAAGAGTGTTTCCCTCTCTGTACTGGGAAAAGGATGACTAAAACTAGGGGGACCCATTGGACAAGGCAAAGATCTAAATCTGCCTAAAGATTTAAATCTGGTCAAAGATTTAACCATACCGGTTAAATGTGCTTTGCCTGGTAACTTCCCAGAACTGGCCCCCCCACCCCCACCCCCACCATCTTTTGTGTTTAGCTGGAGATCGTATTTAAGGCGGTGGCTTGGGCCATCTGGGGCATTACTCAATACTTCCTGGATCTCTCCCTTGTATACAGGAGGCACACACGTTATTAAACCTCAGTTTGTTTTTCTCCTGGTAATCTTTTATTCCAACAATAAGGGGGGTCTCAGCCAACAACCTAGAAGGGTAGAGGGAAAATTATTTTTCCCCCCCTATAACAGCGTACATTTGCAGCACATTTTTATCCACTCAGCCAATCTCTGTTTTTTAATGGATGCATTTAGATCATATATATTTAGTGCGATTATTGACATTGATGGGGCTCAGGACCTACTACCCCAAAAGATGGCACCTTGACATACTGAATATCTTAAGCCAAAGGAGTTTGGGAAAACAGCAAAAGCAAGAAGTCCACTTTGACCTCCTCTTCCCTAAAGACAGGATTAGGGAAACATGCTTATTACCAGAAACAGGGAATTTAGGGCCAAGAAAGCTGTATGAACAAACCTTGTTACTTTTTCACCATTTACTACCCATTGCCCAAACCCCTTTGTCTTTTCAGGCCTTTACAAAGATATTTCATTGTAAAAGCTTCCTACTCTGGTCACTTTAGGTTTTCATTTTTTTTAGGAAGGCTCCCAAGTACGTGTAAAAGTTCTAATAAAATGTGTATGCTTTTCTCCTGCTAATTTATCTTTGGCACTTTCATTATCAGACCTAGCGAGGAGCCCTAAAAGGGTTGAGGAAAAATTTTTCTCCCATACATGTTAGGCCTTAAGTTTGCCATTTTAGTTTTTGTTTTCTGGTGGTTTTTTTTTTTTGTCTGTCTGTTTGTTTGTTTGTTTTCCCCCTCACTGTTACCCACTTTTTGTTTTCTAGGTCTGGCTTTCCTGTGGGCTACTTGAGTATTTTCTTTAGACAATTTGATTCTGATTCATTTATTGTCTTTGGATAGTTTTTTAGTGGTTGCTCTAGGTATCACATACACATAACATCACAGTCCACTGGTATCTACATGTTACCAGTTCAACTGTACCAAGCTTCTCTCCTTTTAAATAATTTACCCTCTCTTGTCTATAATATAATGATCTGAAATATTTCCTCTCTATATATTGAGAACCACATCAGATAATATTAGAAATTTAGCCTCTAAACATACTTTAGAAGATTCAAGACAATTGTGTTTACCCATATTTCTTTTTGTTGTTCTTCCTTGTTAATGTTCCAAAAATATTATATCATTTCTTTCTTCCCCCCCCCCCCCAAACTCCCTTCTGCCATTCTTCTATGGATAGATAACACTGGCAGCAAATTCTCATGCTTTACTTTATCTGAGAATGACTTTATTTCCCTGCTAATTTCTCAAGGACGTGAAATTCAGAGGGACAGTATCAGTTCTTTCCTTTTAGCTCTTAAAAATATGTGACCCTTCCTTTTGGTATGTGGTTTCTGATGACAAATCTGCTACCATTTGAGTTGATTTTTCCCTTTTACATGGGTTTTGTTTCTCTTGCTGTGTGTGTGTCTGTGTGTGTGTATATTTTTGTCTTTAGTTTTCATAGGTTTGATTATGTGTTTGGGTTTATTCCACTTGGGGTTTGTGGAGCTTCCTAAATCTGTAGGTTTCTGTCTTTTGTCAAATTTAGAAATTTTTGATTATTATTTCTTCAAATATACTTTTCCAACACCACCCTCTTTTCTCCTTGGTCTTCTGAAGACCAGAATGCTAGGTCTTTTTCATCGTTCTGCATGTCTCTGATGTTCATTTCTCTCCCCAGTCTATTCTCTCTCCGTTGTTCAAATTGGGCAAGTTCTATTTTTCAATCTTCAGATTCACTGTTTTGTCCCTATCTTCTCCATTCTGCCGTTGACCCCATCCATGACCCCATCCACGGAGCTTGTTATTCCAGGCATTGTATTTTTCAGTTCTAAAACTTGAATTGGGTTCTTCTTTTATTCCTATGCTGAGGGTTTCCCATCTTTCACTTGTTTCACGTGTGTCTGTCATTGCTCTCTGAAGTATTTTTACGATGGTTGCTTTAAAATCCTAGGTGGATAGTTCCAACATGCCGAGAGGGGAGAAGTGCCCCATCGTGGCCGAGTAAGGGTGGAAGTCCAGGATCCCCGTGTGGCCTCTGATGGAGTTTGAAGTGGGGTTCATGAGCAAACGGCCAAGAAAGAATTCTTGAGATGTCTTCAGCACAAAAAGGCGACTTTATGAAAGCACGAGGACAGGACCGGTGGGCAGGAAGAGCTGCACGGGGTTTGGGAGGAGCGACTGATTACACACTTGCAAGTTTCACCGTAAGTCTCCGAGGAATTTCTGGATGCTGAAAGCAGGGTCTCGCAGGACCATTCAGCTATCGTCCAGACCAGGTTGCTTTTAGTTTTTAAGGAAGTGTAAACAGTAAGGCATCAAGGCAGCCGTGAACTTCTTGAGGGGTGTTACACCTGCAGGTGTCTGACATCCAGCAGTGGGCTGCAGGCTATAAGGGAATGGAAGGTAAGCTACATTTTTCTTGTCTTTGTTTCCCTCGTCAGCCTCCACGGAAACCTTATAGGTGGGGAGTGGGGTGGGGGGGGAGATGTAGGATGTTTTCCATGGTGTTTGGCTGGAGGAGAGTCGTTACTTCTTAAGTTCTCCACTTTCTAGGTGGACCTTTGGTCTTTTGGCTAGAGATAACAGGGTTTTCTGGTTTTGTGTCTTTACTGTTGTTGTTTGTTTGCCTTCCTTGGCATTTCTAGATTGCCAGCTTCAGCAGCACGTCCAGGATAGATGAGGTAAAAAGAAAACCCAGGGAACACACAATATCTTGTTCCTCAACTTTCAAGGTCACTTAGTCAGCCTACCTTCTCGACACCCTTTGGCGGTCTTATGTTTAACGTGCATGGGAGGTCCCGGGTTGCTAGTTGTACTTCGCAGAAAGAACAGGGGGAGGTGTGTTTTACTTCACCTTGGTCCAGAAATAGAAGTTTTTATGCTTTTGAAAAGTTTTTATACATTGCTTCTATGTGACATAAGAGAGGTTTCCAGCTACTATTTTCAAACTTATTTCTACAAAGAACACATCCTGCGTATTAAATAGATATATACACTTAGTAGATTAAAAAATTTTTTGAATATAATCATTCTCTTTTTAAAAAGTGGCTTTTGGAGGACTGGAGATGACTGGCTTTATAAGAATTCTGTCAGATGAATACAACGTACAGATCCGGATCAAGTCAACTTGAGCCTTCTTTCAAGATTTCTGGTCATTGTTAGGTTCTTTTTTAAAATGAGGGATCCTTATGCCTCCTGTCTGTAACCAGTGTCCTATAATGTGTGTAATGTAAACAACAGGTGGCCCTCAGAAGAAATTAATGAATTAAAAGCACTTACAGCTGTAACTCTTGCCGTGTTCAGGTGAGTGACAGTCTACTCTAGGACATACTCTTGCAAATGCTTCCATTTGTCGGGGAAGAACAACTTGTCTCTACACTCATAGGGTCTCCAACTCGGTCTAGGAATTCAACTGACATAGACAAATTAATGGGATAAAAGCCTACAAGTTATAATTATTACTTTTTGTTTACATGCACATGGGAGTTTTCACAAGAAAAACGAAAATCCAAAGAAGCTCTAAGAAGGTAATGCTTCTATACTGTGTTGGACAAAGAAGGGTAACTTAAGAAAATGTCACCGGTGAAGGGGCTGGGACTAGGGAGTTAACTGGGAGATGATGTTTGTTTGTACAGATTTCTCTGAGCCTCAACTTCCTGTCCTTTGCAAGAAGAATGACTCTTTGCTTCCGGTAGAGGGAGGATTTCTTTTTTTTTTAAATTTTTTTCAACGTTTTATTTGTATCGAGCAAAGAACAGACATTTACTTCCTTTCATGGTCATACAAAACAATATGCATCAAAGTGTCCTCTCCAGGCAGTAGAGTTGTTACTGAGGACATTACTTTTCTCTCACATTTTTGTGGAAGCCTTTACCCCCACCGTCTCTCTCCCCAACATCTGCCCTGCACGTTATCTTTCCGTCAAGTGCCTACAATTTGCCAATTTTGAGAACGTGCTGATAGGGTTTCATCAAGCTGTTCTACTGTTGCAGACAGTTGTAGTGTTGTGTTTGCTGACTCGCGTGACGCAGGGTCACCTAGATGACTGGAAGCCTTCTTCTCATCCCCGATCTGATGGGGTATGGATTCCTGATGCTGCGAATGTCTGCACGCCAGCTTCTATTCTGCGGTTTTGAAACAGGCCTTAATCTTGCCTCCTATTTTACCTAGCACTCTACATACCCCTTCCTCCATCCAAAGTGACCTACTTTATTCAGGAAATTAGAACAGTCCTACCTCTGGCCCTCGGCTCCTGACATTCCCCTGGCTTTGGATGCACGTGGGCTTTTATGGGAGCATTCACTCTTCCTGCTTGGCTAGCTTCTTCACCGCTTTCAGGTTTGAACTCAAACCTGAAACTCATACCCGAACTCATACCCTCCTGGTGAGGCTCTCCCTGACCATCCCCGTGTGTCTCAGATATGCCCTTTTCCTACTTTGTCTCCATGCCGCTCGTCACCAAAAACCGCACTGTCCTCTTCTGTGCATTTAGCCCATTGTGCACCTTGCCACGCTAGGAGGGCGTCACCACAAGGGTACAGTTTTCCATCTGCCATGGACACTGCCATGTTCCGTGGACCTGGAACTCTCTGGCATTTAGTCGGTATTCAATGAGTATGTGTGGAATGAATGCTGAATACTCACCTCCCTCATGAACTCTCTTGACCCTTCTGATTCGCAGTGATTACCCCTCTCTGCCACCCACTCTCATATTCCTGATTGCTTACACTTTCATTTTTGGAGGCAGAATACCCTGTACTATTTAATCTTCAGACATACAGTCCTTCTCTTTTCAAAAAGTGTCAAGTCTTTGAGGCAGGATTTGAGACCTTCTAGATCTTCATCTTGCAAAGACATTGAGCCAGTGGTTGTTGTTTACTGCTGTCATTGGCCCTGAAGATAATGAGGAAAAATTAAAAGGAGAGTGAATATTGTCAAGAGAAAAAGTCCTAAGTGTCTGAAGACTTAAGAGAAGGTGAAAAACAAATGGAAGATGCACATCTTGACTCTCCTGCCTGGTTCCCTGGATCAAAGGATGCTTCTCTGACCGTTGGCTTATGAGTAGATTTTTCTCACACATAGGTCCATGTCCCTTTTACCATCCTATTTGGGACTCAGAAGACCTTTAGGCTTGAGTCTGCAAAAATTCCTGAAATTACTGTTCACCTTCCTCTGGGCCCCTTCAAGGTCTATCTTCTGGACCATAAGAGGAAAAACACCAAGATTCCTTCCGGCAGTGTCTCTCGATGTTACTATATTCCTTGACATGAGCGCTAAGACCAGGCAAAGACTGCAGTCATATAAACACCTTATAATACATCATCTTTTTTGTGTATTTCAGTGTTGTGGGGCATTTGTTCCCTCACTTCCTAAAGGTCCCAAGACTTCTTGTGTTTGCGTTTCAATGTTTCGGCCCTCTAACCACGAGGGGTGCAGTATGCTATGGATATGGAGGATGACAGAAGAATTTTCTGAATCAACCCAAGTGTTGTACCCAAGTGAAAAAATGGAGAAGGTGGGAGTTGGGAATGGCAATGGGGACAATGAGTTTCCTAACCAGGAGTTTGGAGTCCTTGGTCCTGACGCAGTTTTGGAGTGGTGGCGGGGTCCAGAGCCGATGGCCAAAAAAGAATTCTTGAGTCGCCTTTGGTGTAAAAAGGTGGTAGTATCAAAGCACGGGGACAGGACCCGGGGGCAGAAAGAGTTACACTGGGGTTGTGATGGGTGACTGATCATATACCTTCAGGTTGGGAGGGCGTTAGGGATAGCATAAGTCTCTAAGGAGTTTTGGAAGCAGGGTTTCCAGGACCTCGAGAGGCTAACTGCTGTTAGCAAAAGGTCACTTATTACTGTTTAGTAAAACCTCAGTCATGAGACCCTTCAGATGTTTATCAGTGGACCATAAGCTTGGAGTATGAGTCAACGTGTATCTTGTGATGGTAGAAATAAAGGAAGTTTTCAAAGGAATTCTTATATGTTAAAGTAGACTTACAGAATCCTGGGGGGTAGGGTGAATGTTAAGATTACCTTTTGCTCTTAGCAAAGTGTCATCATCCAGGCAGCTGAGCTCCTAGAGGAATGTCACCCTGCCTATGGCAAAGGCTGTAGGCAGAAAGGAAAGTTAGTTTTTCATTTGCCTCTGGTTCCCACATCCGTCTCATTAGCTCAGTGTGAGCCGGGAAAGACCAAGACACAAAAAACTCACAACCGGGGTCTCTAAGTTTTGCAATCTCTAAAATGAAAACAGTACTCTACCTACCTTCAAGGTGGTCCCATAAGACCTCATGTGTAAGATAATGATTTACACAAAAGACCTACTGTCTTGAGTCAGGGAGAGGATGGGCCAGTTCTTGCCTTTAGTTTTCATTGTTCAGACACTTTTCATTGTTCAGACATTGTTAAGGCTTGGGCTCTGACAAAGAATTGTTTGTTTCCTTTCTTTCTGTTACTTCGTGAGGTCCAAAGACTTAAAGCAATTGCTGGAACAGTTGTACTTTTTAAATGTAAACTATTTTAGAAATTGTTCTGTTTATTCCTTTCCAGAAACAGTCACAATCCTGGAAAAGGAAAAAACAGCCAAAAGACAGAGCAATGAGGACAATCATTCCTGCTTCGGATTGGATTTTAAATTCGTATTGTTCAGAAAATCAAATTGTTTCAATTATTAGTGCTAACGTAAAAGCTCTCCACGCCAGATTACAATGGAGTATTCAAAACCCTCCCGCTAGGTGGAGGGCTTTTATGCAAATGAGGGATGCTGATTATGCTTTTTCATTGGTTACTTGAAAAGAGCCAATGGGAGACTTGTATTCAGCATACCTGCCGTTAGTATAAATACTTCTCTTGCTCTCAGTGTGGCTCTACACTGCTCGCGTTTTCTTTTGAAGGCGTTTGCTTTTTTCTCTGCTGGCGATGTCTGGACGTGGAAAGCAGGGTGGCAAGGCTCGCGCCAAGGCCAAGACCCGTTCGTCGCGGGCCGGGCTGCAGTTCCCGGTGGGCCGCGTCCACCGCCTGCTCCGCAAGGGAAACTACTCAGAAAGGGT